TGGGGAATAAGATCTAGAGGTTTCAACTGCTCCTTTTTAAAGATTTTCAAACAAACCTATTTTTTCCATTCATTATTTCCACCTCCAGAAGTCCTGGTTGCCTTTATTTCTGAGCCTTTCAAGAACACTGTAGTACAAATTAGCTTAATTTTTGTTGGCTTCTCTCTATGCTCCTCTATTCTGTGTGTCTGTGCCTGTGCGTGCACACACACACACACACACACACACACACACACACACATATTACTTGAGGGTCCAGACCTTTCGCTCTCCTGGTAAGTCAGTTAACAGTTGTTCAGTTGCTTTCCTGCTTACTTAACATTAAGGATGTTAATTTTTGACATCCTTTGTCTGCTTTTGTATTCCTTCTTTTTCTCTTGTTCTTCTGAATCTTTTTCCCTTTTACTCCCTTACTGTTCTTTTAGTGGCCACAATAGAGAGTGGAGATAAAGAAATGCATTTATTCAGATAAACTATATTTATAACTTTTCTCAATCTACAACCTTATATACTTTGGTGGTATAATTGGTTGTGAAACAGGCATCGTTTTAGGCTTTTGACTGGCCATTCCAAGCCATTCTGACAGGAAGAATTTGAGCAGAGAGAGAAGAATGGCCTTTAAAAATTTTTATCTCAAATCACTGACAATTCTGTTTAATCTGGACTCCTGCCTTTACATTTTTCTACTACACATTTATAGAGTTTTAAAAGTTGTTTAGTCCCTGAGCAAATCCTGTTTGTGTCCTCTAAGCATATTCAGATGTGGAGATATAAAAGAATACCCAAACTACTTACTATGAGTCATACAGACAAGATGGCTAAATATCAGGTAAAATATTTCATTTAAAACATTAAAACTTGGGAATTCATACTTTTCCTTAAACAGTAATGCCTTGGCAATAGCCTGAATAAATCTGAGGATCTCATTATAAAACCAAGCAACAATTATTTGTTGAGATGTATGTGCCTGAGTTGGTCCCTGGAGGAATATGAAGAAAATGTGAAATATTGTTCTTGCTCTTCCCCTAGACACTAAGCCATGACACGTGGAGTCCTAATTTAATCAAAAGCACAGGCTTTTCATTTAATACGTAAGACCAAATACCCTTCCTGCCTAGTTGATGAGCCATAGTTATACATGAAAAATACTAGCAATACGATACAATACAATGCAACAGAACACAACTAAGTGTTTAATCATCTGTCAGAGCCAGCAAGTACTATGACATCAGATCAGGAAGTCGAAGAAAATAGAAGCAGAAACCACAAATAGTTATTGAGTTCCCATAAAGCCTGTGTTTTAGGTGACCTGGGAACACATTATTGAATGAGAACTTTCTAGCTACTTGGCTTGGTCTTGAATAATGCACTAGATTTGTACATGGGGAGAAAAAAAACCACACACCTCATGAGCAGATCACAACACTGTGACAGAATTGATATCTGTGTGTTATATCTGTGGTTTGGTTCTATGTCCCCCTTGAAATTTTATCTTGACTTGTAATCCCCATAATCCCCATGTGTCCAGGGAAGGACCTGGTGGGTGATGATTGGATCATGGGGGCTGTTTCCCCTAGGCTGTTCTCATGATAGTGAGTTCTCCAGAGATCTATGGTTTTATAAATGTTTGACACTATGTCCTACACATGCATTCTCTCTGTTGCCTGCCACCATGTAAGACATTCCTGCTTCAGCTTCTGCCATGATTGTAAATTTGCTGAGGACTCCCCAGCCATGTGGAACTGTGAGTCAATTAAACCTCTTTCCTTTATAAATTACCCAGTCTTGGTGGCATTTTTTTATAGTAGTGTGAGAATGGACCAATATACTGTGACTTGGAAGAGTAAGAGGGATGACCTGATTAGATTTGGTGTAATTGTTAAGAAAAAGCAATGGCCATATTGCCCAAAGTAATTTATAGATTCAGTGCTATCCCCATCAAACTATCAATGGTCTTCTTCACAGAACTTGAAAAAAACACTTTAAAATTCATATGGAACCACAAAAGAACCTGCATAGCCAATACAATCCTAAGCACAAAGAATAAAGCTGGAGGCATCATGCTGCCAGACTTCAAACTATGCTACAAGACAACAGTAATCAAAACAGCATAGTACTGGTACCAAAACAGCATGGTACTGGTAGCGAAACAGAGACATAGACCAATGGAACAGAACAGAGGCCTTGGGAGCAACACCACACATCTACAACCATGTAGTTTTTGACAAACCTGACAAAAACAAGCAATGGGCTTGTTTAATAAATGATGTTGGAAAAATTGGCTAGCAATGTGCAGAAAGCAGAAACAGGACCCCTTCCTGACACGTTACATTAAACTTAACTCCAGATGGATTAAGAACTTAAACATAAGCCCTAACATCATAATAATCCTAGAAGAAATCCTAGGCAAAACCATCCAGGACATAGGCATAGGCAAGGACTTCATGACTAAAACACCAAAAGCAATGGCAACAAAAGCCAAAATAGACAAATAAGATCTAATAAAACTCCAGAGCTTCTGTACAGCAAAAGAAGCTATCATTAGAGCGAACCAGCAACCAACAGAATGGGAAAATTTTTTTGCAATCTACCCATCTGACAAAGGGCTAATATCCAGAATCTACATAGAACTAAAACAGATTTACAAGGAAACAAACAAACAAACCATCCAAAAGTGGGCAAAGGATCTGAGCACTTTTCAAAAGAAGACATAAAGAAGCCAACAAACATATGAAAAAATGTGCATCATCACTGGTCATTAGAGAAATGCAAATTGAAACCATGTCGAGATACCATCTCATGCCAGTTAGAATGGTGATCATTAAAATATCTGGAGACAACAGATGCAGGAGAGGATGTGGAGAAATAGGAACACTTTTACACTGTTGGTGGGAGTGTAAATTAGTTCAACCATTGTTGGAAGACAGTGTGGTGATTCCTCAAAGATCTAGAAATAAAAATACCATTTGACCCAGCAGTCCTGCTACTGGTTATATACCCAAAGGATTATAAATCATTCTATTATAAAGACACATGCACACATATGTTCATCACAGCACTGTTTACAATAGCAAAGACTTGGAACCAACCCAAATGCCCATCAGTGATAGACTGCACAGAGAAAATGTGGCATATATACACATGGAATACTATACAGCCATAAAAATGATGAGTGTGTCCTTTGTAGGGATATGGATGAACCTGGAAACCATCATTCTCACCAAACTGATACAAGAACAGAAAATCAAACACCACATGTTCTCACTCATAGATGGGTGATGAACAATAAGAACATGTGGACACAGAGAGGGGAGCATCACACACTGGGGCCCTTTGATGGGGCTGTAGGGGAGGGACAGTGGGAGGGAGAGAGGGGAGGGATAACATGGGGGAAATGTCAGGTATAGGTGATGGGGGAATGGAGGCAGCAAACCACCTTGCCATGAATGTCCCTATGCAACAATCTTGCATGATCTGCACATGTACCCCAGAAGCTAAAGTACAATAAAAATTAATTAAATAAACAAATAAAAAGAAGAAGAAAAAGCAGGAAATAAGTTTAGGTTGTTGGGTGGGCAAAAACCCACCAGGGTAAGAAAATTCTTAGTTTGCAGAAGAAAGAAAAACAGCACATTGTGTCACACAGATCTTTTCATATAAAGCACGATTTAAATGCATACTTATAATATTAAATGAAGAAATATTTATATAGCCCCTTTCTATGTGTAATATGCCTTTGTTTTGTTTTTCAGTTTATTTCTTTGTTATTTACAAGTGTCCCTTGGACTTGAGGAAGAAAGAAATGGGGATGGTTGTATTTTATTTAAATTATAAGATTAAAGATGGCAGATGATTAATCCAAAGTCCTGGAAAGTAGGAAAAGCTCCCCCTTCACTTCAAGCCCTTTTCCAGAATAGAAGAGTTGGCTGGTTACTTTGTAGAACTTAAGATGATATTCATTTTAAAGAGTCTGTAATAGCCTCCACTGTGGTAAGATGTGACTGGGATTTCAAGGTTTCCCTGTCTGTACTGATTTACCTAAGTAGGACAGAGATTTCTTAGGCATGACTGCCGGTGGAGGGCAGTAGGTCACTCAACTTAGAGAGAACAGTATTGTTGAGAATGACACTAAGGTGGTTATCTGGGATGCTACTTCGCTTTTGGTAAATAGCTTTGCATCAACTTCTCAAGTTTCATCTCTCAGTGGAGAAGGATGCTAGAAAAAGATACCAGGCACTGCAGCCTGATCGGGTGAACATACGGAATTAGAGCCTTAGATTTTGTTTTTGTGATGACTAAGCTGACCGGGTTTCTTCTTTGTCCTTGCACACTTTATGCTTGACTAAATGCTTAAGCAAATAGAATAGGCGACCGCTAGGAGGTACCCGAGCTGTGCGTCGGCCTCCCCGGCGAGCAGAAATGGCTAACAGTGACTTCCTCCGCTCGGTGGGTCAAGGCGGGTGGCGCTTTTCCAAGGTCGGGTTTGCGATAAGCTTATCGGCGGAGCGAGAAGGACATTTAAGAACCATAGGTCCTTTAATCTAAAAGGCCGCGCACCTCCAAGGCATTGTGACATCTTGAGGTCTAGTGTTTGGGCACCAGCTGCCTGCACATCTGGTTGCAGCAGTGCCTTTCCCGGCGAGGTGGCGGACCCCGGAGTGCACGCACCGCCTCGTGCGCGCGCTCGCTGGAGTCCGTGAGCGTCCGTGTGTGTGTGTGTGTGTGTGTGTGTGTGTGTGTGTGTGTGTACGCGTGCGCGCACGCGGGCCGCGGCTCCCGGACCGGCTAATGGGGGTGGGAGCCCAGGAAGGAATAAATCTCCGCCAGCCTCCTCGCGCCTGGCTGCGGGTTAATATCCAACCAGTTAGAGAAAGACGAGGGTGACGGCAGCAGGGTGACAGCCTGTGCACACCGGCCTTGTGTCGAAGGGTCAGGATATTAGCCAGTCTCCGCCACACTCGAGGACGGATCTATTTCTATTGGCGGGGTGCTGTTGTTTTTTATTGTCTGCCGTTATCTCCAAAGAACAAGGGTACGAGTGAGGGGTGCGCGCTCTGGGCGAGTGTCGCGGCTCTCACAACGGGTCGAAGGAGGCAATTTTGCCAGTGGGGGAGGGAGGGGGAGACCTTGATTTCCACCAATCCCCGGGCGTTTGTCTGCGAAGTCCGGGGCGCAGCGGAAGGCTGCGGCGCGCCGCTGAATTAACTGATGAGAGCGAGTTCTTTTCTTCTCCGGGAGGGGTGGGGAGCGAGGGTCCTGGCGGGCGAGGCGGAGAAGCCCGGGGCAGGATAGCGGTCCCGGGCAGCCGTGGAAATTTCCAAGGACTTGGCGCGGCGCGGAGAGCGCGTCTGGGGTGGGGGGGGTTGCTTGGGGGCGCAGCAGCGCGGGAGGCGGCGAAGGGCGCAGGAGCATCGCCCGGAAGGGGACAAGGGGACGCATCGGGCCAAATGTCTGAGAGAGAGCCGAACCTTTTCCCGGACCCTCGCCTAGGGCGACTGTGATGCTGCAGAACCGGCGGGAGCTACTCGCCGCCGCCGCTCTCTGCGCTTTTGGAGACCCCAGCGCCGCCTTCTGCAGGGGAAACGACCATGGCCATAGATCGTGACTTGCCCCCCAGCCACTTCCCCTAGAAGAAATCCTTGGAAAAGTTGCATTTAAAAAAATCCTTGCTCTGACCTTTGGGGCCGACGGTGCCGAAGAAGAGTGCGTGCCTTTGCAAGCAGGAAACCGAAAGGTGTGTGTGCATGGGGGGCCGGCGGTGGGGGACCCTCTGCTGCCACTTCGCATAGCTTTGTGCTGAGGCCCCGGCCCCCGCCCCTGGGACGCCGGGGCTGAGATGAGCCCTTGCCGGCGGGCCCGGCGACAAACGTCTAGAGGGGCCATGGCTGTACTGGCGTGGAAGTTCCCGCGGACCCGGCTCCCCATGGGAGCCAGTGCCCTCTGTGTCGTGGTCCTTTGCTGGCTCTACATCTTCCCCGTCTACCGGCTGCCTAACGAGAAGGAGATCGTGCAGGGGGTGCTGCAGCAGGGCACGGCGTGGAGGAGGAACCAGACCGCGGCCAGAGCGTTCAGGTACTCCTGCCCTCGCGGCTCCTCCCCTCTAGCGTCCTTTCCTCCCGGTGTGCAGAGGACAGGGTCACCTGTGAGGTCTGCCTTGTACCGCCTCGCTGAGACGTCCCTTTCATCCGCTCTTTCTTGTCCCTTCCCTCCATTTGTGCCATTCCCAACCTGGAGACTTATTCAGAGTCCCTTTCCCATCCCCGACCCCCACAGATATACAGACACCTGCTTTGCGCACGTAAAGACTCTACGCATTTCTTCCCAAGCTGGACTTGTATGTAACAATTTGCGGATAACCAGAGGGAAGGAGAACCCAGTATAACTTAGTCTCTTGCACTTAATGAGGATTTATCTCTTGGGCTCTGCAGACATTTGAAGCTGTAGAAAACAAGAAGCAGGTAAAAGACATCTCCCCGAGGTGCGGTGCATATTCGGTAACATAAATCCCCAAGGTGGGAGTGATGGGCAGTGGAAACATGGACAGATCCCGCAGCTTTGTGCAGTGTGCCCACAGCAACTGCCTAGCACTTACTGACGTCCTACTAAGAGACGTCACTGTGCAATTTTTGTGTTGAAATCTCAACTTTCCAGTATTATTATCTCATCTTGCTGACCACAACTTGATTCTTAGAAGGATGAGTAACTTCCCCAAGGTCATTACTTTTTACCTGCGGGGGCTGGAATTTTCATCACTTAAAGCTCCAGAGCTCCCAGCTCCTTTTATTGGCTTAGACTGTGGATGCCTCTGGAAGACGGGATATGTACTTTAGGTAGGCACTTGAGGTCAGAACACAAACAAAACCCCCAAGCCAGGTTGGAAATCAGAACTCTGTGGATCATTCAGAGGTTCTAGATTCCCTTCCTTTCTGGGAATTTTAGATTAAATGTCAAAAAATAAGTTCCTGGCAGCAGGGGTTGTGTAGTTAGATTGAAGGGAAAGCGGAACTGCTTCCCCTTTCTCTCCACCTCCCCAGACATGTTGAGGGAACACATTAGTGCTTCCACCACTGCCAGGTGCCCCTTTCACCTTTAGTCCCTGGGGCTGATGATACTGTGGTTGGCTTCTTCCTGTGATTGTAGTGGTCTGGGTGGGAAATGCCCTCCTCTGCTCTGCAGAGGATCTTTCTAATCAGTGCAGGGGCAGGTGAGTTCCAACATCAACATTTTTCACTGCAGTTATTTACAAATATTCATGTGCATCTATGCATTTTTAAAAAAAAAAACTTTTAAACATCGGATTTCCCTCTCCTTCTTATGCCTCCTCCTGGAAAGAGGGTTAAGAAGATAATAGAGCCAGTTTGTTTAGAGGAAGGCAATTGCATTCTCCTTGGAAGGAAGGGCTTTCCTTCTCTTTTTAGAACTCTATCATCATTGAATTTAAAAATAACCCCACTCTTCCTAAAAGTATCTAAGGGTTAATTTTTTCTTTCCTTCACAGTATTGATTGTGGGACTCAAAAGCTGGCAAAAGACATCACATCCAGCAATGCTTTTCTCTAAGACAGAAAGCACTTTCATGTCAAGTGATGTAAGGAAATGAGTTAAGAACTTCCCATTGGTTTGCAATGAAAGAGTTCATTTTTTTTTTAATATAGGAGGAGGAATAATGAAGCCCTGTTAAAGAATAGATTTCTTGTTAGAGGACACAATCAAGTGGAAAATGCTTCGTATTCTGAGAAACGCAGACTGATAGTTTCTGAGACACATTTGCTCCTTGCTTTCTGTAGCCTGGAGTAATCTTCAGTGTGTTTGACTGTTATTTGGTCTGGTCTCTATGTGCAGAGAATTACTTGTTAAAACCCATACACTATAAAAACTACCTAAACACATATCCCTCAAAGTTAGCGTCTATAAAACCGTGTAAAAAGCACCATTGCTTATTGAAACAAGTTTGAGCTTCAGAGTAGAATTCTGAATGTGTATACTGAGTATACCGTGACTACATAAACAGCAGAGAATCTTTGGCAAGTTACTATATTTTTTGAGTTCTGGCTTTCTTGTTTATATACATTGCAGGATTGTTATAAAGTTTAATTTCTTTTTTTTGAGACGGAGTCTCGCCCTGTTGCCCAGGCTGGAGGAGTGTAATGGCGCAATCTTGGCTCGCTGCAACCTCTGCCACCCAGGTACAAACGATTCTCCTGCCTCAGCCTCTTGAGTAGCTGGGACTGCAGCTAATTTTTGTATTTTAGTAGAGATGAGGCTTGACCATCTTGGCCAGGGTGGTCTTTTTTTTTTCTTGAGACCGAGTTTCACTGTTGTTACCCAGACTGGAGTGCGATGGCACGATCTTGGCTCACCGCAACCTCCGCCTTCTGGGTTCAAGCAATTCTCCTGCCTCACCCTCCCGAGTAGCTGGGATTACAGGCACACGCCACCATGCCCAGCTAATTTTTGTACTTTTAGTAGAGACGGGGTTTCACCTCGTTGACCAGGATGATCTCGATCTCTTGACCTCGTGATCCAGCCACCTCGGCCTCCCAAAGTGCTGGGATTATAGGCTCGAGCCACCGCTCCCGGCCGGCCAGAGTGGTCTTGAACTCTTTACCTTGTTACCCGCTCACTGTGGCCTCCCAAAGTGCTGGAATTACAGGCGTGAGCCACCGTGCTTGGCCATAAAGTTTAAATTTTAAATAAAAACTGATGCCGAGTATCTGGTACATTGCATACGCAGAAAATGATTGCTTTATAATTGTTATAAATTATAATTTCTGGTATATGTTACTACCTAAATGAGGAAATCTGGCCAGCCCGTGAGAATTTGGAATGTTCCTCCAGCCAGATTTACAGAGAAACGTTATTGGTCCCTACCCCTCTCCGCAGCCAGATACACTTATGCTAATAAACAGGGACAAGACATTTTGAAAGGTAGGAGAAGTTTCATGGTTTAAGTATTTTTTACGTGCACAGTTAATGTTCTTTAACATTTGGATTGTTAGCATATATTTGTTAAATATTAGACAGGTCCGTCAGAAGCCATTATCATGTTAAGGAGACACGACTTTGACAAACAAGCATCTGTTTTTCTCCAGTCTGAAACCTCTTCTGCATAAATACAAATATATGCACACAAATGCACAAAGTGCACTTATATGTGGAGCTATATGCCCATTTATTCAGAAGTCATGGAATGATGTCATATATACCTAAAAATATATACGTATGTACATACATAAATACAAATATTTGCAATCAGTCAGTCAACCAACATTTCATGATATGTATTAGGCCCCGGGGGAGAGCAGTGAATAGGATGGATAGATAGCCTCCTCTACTAAGAGCTTACTTCCTAATAGAGGATGATTGACCCATGATTAAATAAATGCAATGACTTAACATACAGTTAAATTCTGTGAAGAGAAAAGAGAGTGTTTACTCTGTTTATAAACACCAAAATTTCAGATTTTATTTTGCCCTCTGTGCTTCCATTTATTTTTGTAATTTTCTTCTTCCAGCTGAGAACCTGATATGTACTGAATTCTCAGAGGAGAACCTTGTCAAACTGCATAGGAGGTGGCAGAAAGAGTAAGAAAGCTGTAAGAGTTCTGAACGGAACAGGAAGTTTTCGTAATGCTGATATGGTTTAGATAAAGAAATCAATAGATCCTATCATAGAAACTGTTTTCATTCTTGTTGTGTCTGATTGAGTGGTATCGTGGGAAATGCCAAACCAAAGCATGGTTAGTTTCTTCCATCAGATCCTCACCCATTTCATTTGCTCCTCAGAAATGAACCAGAGCTCAGAATTTATGTGCAAGATTTTATTCTTGGCACCTGGCATGGTAACAATAATAGTAACAATTAAACTAACAAGTTATTAGGTGCTTGTATCTGCCTCACACTATGCTAGTATGTATTGTCTCATTTAATCCTCATAAGAATCTTGTATAAGTGGATACATTATTATCCACATTTATGAAAATGAGCATGCCCCGGTGTTCAAGAGAGTTGCTATAATCCCATGGAAAAGATGAGTAATGTATATAATCAATGAACTGGAAATAGGGCTATCACAGAGAGGAAACCTTGTGAAAGTGAAATAGCAGAGTGAAAACCTTGTGGATTTGGGAGCTGTCAGAACATGGTTGGAAACCTGGGGCTTGTAAAAATGTCTTATAAGTTTGTGGTGAAAATTACATGCTGTCATATAGACAGCACCTAGTATGATGCTTGCCACATATCTCTGTTTAATACGTGATTGTTATAACAATAGAAACACCAGCTAAGTGCTGGGGATGTTCCCAGAACATGACATTTAATTCTACTGAAGGGAGGGCAACTGGGTTTCAGAGAGGAGGTGGTGTTTGGAGTAAGTCTCGAAGGATGGTAGGGTGGCATGGTGGCAAGAGATGAGGATGGAAGTATATTCCAGGCAGAGAGGACAGCGAAGGTGAAGGCGGAGGGATTTGCAAGTGCCTGGTGTGTTTATTGTATGGAAAGTTATGAAGTCACCCATGGAGACCACCACAGAAATGTTGGCTGGGTGGTAAGATGAAGCCAGGAATCTTTGAAGGTACTTTAGATGTGGCTCATTAGAAATGGACAAACATCAAGGATCTGAGGGTATTGGCTGCGGGTTAGCCATTAGCAGAGACGACACGTCACTGTTACCAGTGGGTTTGGGAAACAGAATAGAGGTTAACACAGCCAAGTTGTTGTTTTGAAAATTCTGTTGACTCACTGGGTGGTAACCATTACTCTTAGCAGTCAAGTTCTGTCTTTTCCAAAATTCTGAACAAACGACTACTTTCAGCAGTTCCACCTTCATGTGGCCTCTCTTATTTCTCTATTTTTGAATCCAGGGATGATAAAAGCTCAGAAATTTCCATAGTTGTCCTGGTGGTAGGAGAAGGGCATTGAGAATGGGGAGTGTACGTGCAGCCATCTGTACAGATAAAATGTAAGTTTAGTGTTTGTAAGTTGGGGATTTGTGGAATTCACTTTGAAAAGGTAGTTTAGGAAAAAGATGGTTGAATGAGTTTTGGTGCTCAAGAAAATACACTACAATTATGT